TGTAATGAAAATAAACTTCCTATCCAGGCCTGGTACAAGCCTGTAATCCTAGCACTCTTGAGGCCAAGACAGGAGGATCACTGAGTTCAAGGCCAGCCTGGGCTATGTAGTTCCAGGTCTGCCTGAATACATAGATCCTACCTCAGAAAAACCAAAGAGGGAAAATAAAACACGTCAAAGCAAAAAACAAAAGTGAAAAAATTTTTATTCTGATAAAGGTAAATTACAACAAACATCAAAATACAAATGAAAAAGTATTTTTTGTTGGACAGAAATAATACAATGCTGCCTGCTATCCCACATTGAAAAATTTTTTTTGGTTTGTTTTATTTTTGAGACAGTGTCTCACTAAGTAGATCAGGCTGACCTTGAACTTACTACATAGTCCAGGCTGTCCTTGAACTTGCAGCAATCCTCCTACAGGGTGCACCACCATGCCTGGCTTCTAAATGCCATAGTCTAAGCCAGTGAAAGCAAGATACAAGAAATAGGAAACAAGAATTGGAAGGAAGAAATAAAACCACGACAATTCACAGATTAAACGAGTATGCATATGTAAGATTCCAAAGAATCTAGATTAGGATCAATAGAGAATCTAGAAGTTGGGGATATAGCTCAGTGGTAGTATACTATCTAAGAACGCATAAGGCTTTATTTTATTTTATTTTTTTTCGCATAAGGCTTTATTAGGTTCAATCCCCAGCACCAAACATACACAAGAATGTGTGTATACACGTATACCCACATACATTAGTAAGGCTCAGGGCTACAAAACCAATATATAAATACTCAATGCAGTTAATTCTGTAATTCCACTATAACTTGTTATGATCTGAGATAAATCAGCAACAAAAAATGTCATTAAAAAAGATAACAAAGTTGAGCATGGTGGCACATGCCTATAATCCCAGCACTTGGGAGGCTGAGGCAGGAGGACTGCTGCAGGTTCGAGGCCAGCTTGAGCTACAAAGTGAATTTAAGGCTAGCCTGAACTGCATAGCGAGACCCTGCTTAAAAAAAAAAAAACAAAACAAAAAACCCAGCAAGAAAGAGATAAAATGAGAAAAGTGGGCTAGCTAGCTATAGCGGTGTATACCTGTAATCCCAGATTTGGGAGGCTAAGGCAGGAGGATGCCTGTAAGTTAAAGGTCATCCTGAACCATAGAGTGAGATCATGTCTCAAAAACAAAAATGGGAAAAACTGTAACACTGTATTGAAAGATGTTTTAAAATTACATAGATATCATGCTCATAGACTGGGGAACCCAGGCCTTAGTTTTTTTTTTTTTTTATTTTTGAAACAGGGTCTCACTATATAGGATAGGTTGGCCCTGAACTCAGTATATAGCCCAGGACTCAAACTCACCAGTCCTCCTGTCTCAGCCTCTTGTGTGCTAGGGCTACAGTCATGCTCTTTTATTACTGCAATCCTGTGTTAGTCCCAAATAAATATCACAATAACTTCCATGAATCCTAAGAACATACTAGGCAAAACAAAAACAAAAACAAAAACCCAAGTCCTAAGAGACTATGTATGGTATGATTCTATTTGGATTAAGTTCAAAAGTGAGACATTGTTTAGGGATACAGTCATGTGTGGTAAAACTCTAAGGCAAGTTCTTGAGGATTAGGTACTGGGCAGCCTGCCTGGCCATAGTCAACAGGGCATGGAGAAAAGGGCACATGAAGGACATGAATGAATGGAAAGCTGGACAACAAGAGGTCTCGTGATAGCAGAACTCACAAGTGGGGGCAGGAAAAATGTTCCGGGACTGGAAGCAATTCAAGGTGATGCAAACACTATTCTTCTCACCCATAAGTAGTCCAATGAACAAAATAAGAAGCCCTCCACTACCTTCCAGATCTAGGTTGCCACCTTGCAGACACTGCCAAACTTGCACAACCTGAAACACTTTTTGGGCTCCTAGGGGACTCAGGATTTGAAGATCGATCAAGACAAAACATACTGAGGAACTTCAAATACTTTCAGGAGTAGGAATAAGTAAGTTTCAAACTCTATCACAGTTTCAACTAGAGGCAGATTTATCAAACATTAACTCTTGAGCTTCAGGCCCCTTTACCTGCCCAAGCCATTTTTTAACTATTTGAAAAAGCCCAAACCATTTTGTGGTATTTTCCTTAAAGAAAACCTTGAAATGGTACAAACTTCAAATTGCACAAAACTTAGGTAAGCTCTGGTCTAAACTCTTAAATTGTTGGTTGTGGCAGAACATGTCTGTAGTCCTAGCACTTGGCAGACGGAGGCAGGAGGACTGCTCTGAGTCTGAGGCCAGCCTGGGTTCCATACTTGAGTTCAAGGCCAGCCTGAATTATGCTTCAAGACACCATCTCAAAATTAAAAATAAATAAATAAATATTAAAAGAAAGAAAAACAACAAAATCCCTTAAGTTGTAAAATACTTAGTGCACAGCTTGGAGTGGCTTCTGGTTAAAGTCTCTGTTTCTACTGAATTTTCCTTCCTCAGAAAATTACATTTCCCTTAGGAACTAAGAAAGCTTGAATCTAAACTCTTGAAAGAATGTGACTAACAAAGTCCCAGAAATCCACAGCTCAGCTATTTATTCTGTTTTTTTTTTTTCTTTCTCTTCTTCATCCTTATAGAGACACCCAGGATAAAATGACTCTTGCTGAATAACTAAATGTAAACAACATTAGTTTTCTAATAGGTCCTTTGATAAGAAGGTGAAAACTAATTTTGGCAAGTATCTTTGCTAAATATTTTATCTGGCTCAAGGATGATAGCACACAAGCACCTCTTGTGTTGTGACTACAACTTGCTTTCAAAACACTATGTAATTTTGTTCCAAGGCTGGTAGCACTGTCATACACTGGATGACTTCCACAAATGTTCCTAACCCCTAGGTCTTCTGCACCAAGATCTGGAAAAGCAGAAAAGAATAGCCTGTTGTGGTACAAGAATTATAACGACACTATTATCACCTCCGCATTTTGTGGACTAAAAACTAGAACTCCTTGTGCTTTGTTGCCTATGTGAATGGAAGAGCTGGACCAGTAGTATAAGAACATGGAAAGGAATCTGCCACCAGATAGAATATTTTCAACAAGAAGAAAAAATCACCCAGAAAGAGGATTTGCTTAGCAGAGGTCGAGTAATTTGCAGAGTAAGTCAGAACTCTTCCTTCACTAAAATAGGCTATATCCAATAGAGAAACAATAGGATTTCAAAGAAAATGTTATTTGGGATTGGGAGATAGCTCAGTGGTATAGTGCATGCCTAGTATGCATGAAGCCTTAGGTGCAATCCGCAGCAACACACAGAGTTAATTTGAGAAAGAAACAGAAAATAAAGTGAATTCCCATGAAGTCCATGTATGATAAACAAAGTTCTTAAGACTTTTCTATCAGCAGAAACACTGCCTGCTTGGACTAAAAGGGACAAAGCATGTACAAAATCAAAGAATGTTGATCATCTCCCAAAATTCTACTAGCAAGAAGCAGGCTGATAAAACTACTCAGCCACTAACAAGGTGCTACATTGTTAGTGATGTGCTACCGGAGGATGATAGAGGTGTGGCCATAAGCTCATAGGGTAGAGCTGTGATTCCACAGTGAAACCAGGAACTCAAGGTTTTGGTGAAACCAAGAGCTAAGGTGGCAGAGCTGGGAGCCATGGAAATTCATTCCCAGGCCTTGAGTCCTAATCAAGGAACTACTGTTTTAGAAAAGGAAAGTGACTCAGAGGGCTGACCACAGGTCCAGAAGGCAAAACCAAGAGCTCAGCAGGTAGAATCAAGAACCCAGAGGGCACAGCTGTGAACCACAGGAATTAACTCCCAGGCTTTAATCCTAATCAGGTATCTGGAATTGGCCCAGCTAGATCTCTTTTTCTTTGTTCTTTTCTTGGCTTTAGATTTCAATGTCATTATTTTTTCTAATTTAATTTTTATTAATACATGTTTGTAATGCATAGTAAATACATTGCTTGTGGGGAATTGGTTCATATGTGTAGTGTATCTTAATCCTTTTTACTTCCTCACCTTCTCTGCCTCCTCCAACCATCAACTAGATTACACAGCTTCTTAGGCTACCAATTCTCTTCACCGGTTTTCTTCCCTTTCTAAACCTGAAGTCTGTAACTGTGAACTTATGCCAGTCCCACCTTGTATGTGAAAGCTTGGGGGCAGGCGATTTTCTTTTTCGTTTCATAGGTCCAAAGACAAATTAAAGATTTGCGTTTAGGAGCCATCCCTGAAGAGATCAGACTGCTGAGCCTTGACTATCTGTGGTTTAGATAATCTCAGTGATGAGACTTGGGATATTGGAGCCATCAGATTTAGGATTTTTAACTGTTACTGATGGTATGAGACTTCTGGACTGTACTTTGTATAAGAGAGGTGTGAATCATGGGGCCAGGGGGCAGACTGGCATGGATTTTCAACAAGGCTGCTGAAGTGGAGCGGGACCTGGGACAGGGCTCTGGGAGGAGGACCTGAGGACAAAAGAGGGATCTGATGCAGCAGCCACCTGGCGAGCCGGGGGTGGGTTCTTCTGCAGTCTCAGGATGAGATCTGAGCCTTGGCTGCTCCTTGACTTGACCTTAAAACCTGGACCCAGCCAAACCTCCTGAGATTTTGGCCCACAGAAACCTGAGATGATAAATAGGTATTTTTTAAAGTGACTTCATTAGGAGTAATTTGTCATAGAGTAGTAAACTAATCCAAATTTTGTTTTGGTCTACAGATTTTATTCCGGAAATGCTGCTCTCACCCATTCTGAAAGTCAGGCAGAAACAAGAGGACCAGGTGTGATTCTGGGACCAGCCCATGTGCTCATGAAACCTGCACAAGTTTCCTTGTCTAAAAAGTGGGTGGATCAAAGGAAAACAGCTGTAAGAAAACACTGCTAAACCAACAAGTCTTTTTAATAGCAAATATATTATGAATCACAACACCCATGTGAATATCTATAAACAAGGGACCTAGACACAGTGAAGAACAGAAAAGTCATATATGTTTACCTTCCTCAGGCCAGGGCTGTAGATTGCTGGGATAGAGATATGCTCCTTCTCCTGCTGCTAGGAAAGTGCCCAGGAAACACTCATTCCCCTTAAAAATGACAAAGCAAAAAGCAAGAGATTTATAGCATAAATACACAAGAGTTGAAAATCTTGTCCAATTTTGTTTGTCTAAAAAGCTGAGTCTGCCAGGCATAGTGGAACATGCCTGCAATCCCAGCACCTCTGGAGGCTGAGGCAGGAGGATCACAGCCAAGTTCAAGCCCAGCTTGGGCAATTTAGTGATTTAGTGAGACCTTGCCTCAAAAACAAAAACAAAAATGGGGGCTGGGGGTGGGGTTGAGGGTGGTGTAGAGGTTGCTTAGCTCCTTTCGGTGTTTTTCAAAACTTCTAGTAAGTTTTTTGTTTCTTGGTTTGGTTTTGTTTTTTGTGACAGGATCTTGCAATGTAGTTCAGGCTGGCCTTGAACTGACTGGAATTACAGCATGCACTCAACACATCCAGTTTCAAGTACTATTAAAGGCAGATCCCAGATTGGCCTATTCATCTAGCTGAGACACTTAAGAGTTTAGGGCAAAGCTGGACATGGGTAGTGCATGCCAGTATACATACTTGCATATTCTTGTTTGTTTGGTTTGGTTTTTTGAGGCAAGGTCTCACTATTTAGTTGAGGCTGGTCCTGAACACACTATGTAGTCTATGCTGACCTGGAGTCCTAGTGATCTTCTAGCCTCAGCCTTCCAAGTGCTGAGATTACAGGCATGCACACCATGCCCAACTATGTGCTAAACTCTTTTTTTTTTTTTTTGGTACCAGGGATTGAACTGATGACCTTGTACTTACCAGGCAAGAACTTCAGCCACTGAGCTAAATCCCCAGACTCTATGTTTTAAATTCTTGATGTCTCAGCTTGACATGACTAGAACAATCATGGATCTGCTTTTGACAGTATTTGGAGCTGGGTGTGGCTGATGCATGTCTGTAATTCCAGCACTCAAGAGTCTGAGGCAGAAGATCACTGTGAGTTCTAGGCCAGCATGGGCTACAATAGTGAGTTCAGGCCAGCCTGAATTACACTGCAAGACCTTGTCTCAAAAAACAAAACCAAACAAATAAAAAACGTCTTGGAGGTTCTAAAAAACACCAAAAGGAGCTAGGCATAGTGGCACACATCTATTATCTTATCACTCTGGGACGCTGAGGTAGGAGGATGTTAAGTTCCAGTCCTAAAGGCTGGAGGTGTACCTTTACACTTGACATACACCCTCAGCCCTGGGTTGAGTCCCCAGTTCCACAAAAATAGATAGATAGATAGATAGATACAACACCAAAAAGTTTGAATGGCAGAAAGTATCTAATTTGTCCCTATAAACGGTTACTCCAGAGGCCTTCAGGAAAGGGGAAGAATGCAAACAAGAGGAATCAAAAACAAATAAATACAGATCCTTTACATTAATAGTAAGATGAAATCTTGTAGATTATGTTTATGAATTGCTTACATTTTATTCTAACATGATATTGACACTGGGAACAAGAAGGCTACTTACCCTCACTGCTTGCTGTGTTTTTTCAGACAATTTTACTTCATTATCTTCTACCTGTGTCCAGAAATATGCAGATGTTCACTTTGCACTTCAGGCTGTGTTCACTTTTAGGAGACTAAGCAGTCCCCCACCTGCCCAGTGTAGCCAGGCCCACTCAGGCCCTAACAAGCTGGCAGAGTCAACTGCAGGTCACGGCTCAGAGTCCTAGTCCTCAGCAGGCTGTTCTGCTAGACCTATGATTCTGCCAACGAGTTTATGGCAGGTGGAGAAGATATGGTAATCTACACATTGCTCCAGAGAAAAACAGTTATTTTTTAGGGATAAAGGAATGAGAACATATTAAAATATCTTTCAGCTAGGCATGGTGGCACATGCCTGTAATCACAGCACTCGGGAGGCTGAGGCAGGAGGACTGCTGGGAGTTCATTGTCAGCCTAGGCAACATAATGGGTTCAAGATCTGCCTGAATTACAGAGCGAGACTGTCTCAACCCTCCCCCTTCCCTCCTGCCAAAGAAAAGAATGGGGAGCTGTCACATGTACGTAACTCCTCCTGATTCTTTTTATTTTCCCTTCCCCTTCTACCTCCTCCATTATCATCTTCTAAGCTTCAGTTTTCTCATCTGTACGAGGAGGGTGTTAATGTCTTTCTTTTTTTTTGTACCAGGGATCAAACTCATGACCATGTGTCTGCCAGGCACTGAGCTAAATCCCTGGCCCTAGGAGGGTGTTAATGTCTTAATTGTACAATTTAACAGGGACTCAGATAATTTAGTTCCTTTCTTTTGAAACTTTTCTAACTCTATGAGAGTTAAAAAAGTAAGATTCATTCATATGAAAAGGCAAGGCCAAGATTATATAACTTTCATTCCTGAATAACAGCTAGGTCAGGATCTGTGTCCCCCCAAAAACCCAGTGAAGAGGTTCCTCCTCAAATGTTCCCCCCACTCCCTCCTCCCAGTTTGGATCCTCTTTCACCTATAAATGATACCAACCAGCCAGGAGCAGAATCTGGGTATGGCAGCTGTCAGGACTATGAAGCTGGTCTCCTTGGTAACAGTGCCATCTGTAGGAAGACCACAGACATGCGAGTTGGTTACTCCCAACAACCGAGGCCTATCTTAACATTTTTTTTTTTTTTTTGGCTTTTTCGTTTTTATCAGTACCGGGGATCAAACTCACGACTGCCTGCTTCCAAGGCAGGTGCTTATGCCGCTGAGCTAAACCTCCAGCCCCCCGAGGCCTATCTTAAAGGCCACTCAAGACTGAAAATTCCTTCTTTCCCCTTCTCAGGAGCAAGGACTCTTCTTATTAGTATAAAGAGCATGATGCCCTGAGAAAATGAGAACATACTTATCTTAGGACAGAGACTGACAAGTAGAGAAATGTTTCCTTTTATGATAAACTTGAGTATTTTTCATAACAGAAACAAACATTTAAATGAAGAGTCCTATGAATTAGTCCTTCTATCTTTACTTTCAATTTTTATCAAGGTAGTATACTATTAGCAAGATCATCTCACTAGTACAGAGTACTATCATTCTACAACTGGTATTTTTTATTTCTTTAAGACAGGGTCTCTCTATGTACATCAGGTGGGCCTTGAACTCTCAGCGATCCTGTTTCAGCCTCCCAAGCGCTGGGATTAAAAGGGTGTGCCAAACGTGCTTGGCTTCATAACATATTTTGCTAACACAATGGGTAAAAAACAGTAACAAAATGCCATCTAATTATTGTTTCAAATTCCTTCCAAACTTCCAAACTGATGACTACTGATGCTGCATATCTTTATACATTCATGCATCTCCTATTTTTTCATTTTCTGCTTCTATAAACAACCCGTTCATATTTTTTGACCATTTTATCCTTGGATTGCCTATTTCTCTCTTTTCTTTTTTTTTTTTCTCTCCCATATTTGGGATTAAAGCTAGGGCTTTGCACATGCTAAGCAAACTCTACCTCTGAGCTAACAACCTTAACCCTGCATATCTTTGTCTTATTGATCAAGATATAATTTATAATTAGAGTATCTACTACTTATCTGTTTTAATTTTCCCAAAATTAACAAATTAATTTGCAAGATTTGTTTCCCAAAGATACACACTTACCCTCTTCTTTAACCAAGATCTGAGATGTCAAAAATGATTCTGAGAAGACCACCGATCCTAAGCATCCTCTTCCTCCCAGCAAGTCAGGAATATCATAGACAGTCATAGAAGCCTGTACAAAGTGAGAAACCACAGTAAGACCAGTTGCCAATATCTTCAGTGGGAGATCCATTGGAAGCAGAAACAAATTGTTGCTTTAAAGCAAATGGCAAAAGAGAGCATTTGGAGAGTTTCTAAGGAAAACTGGAGATACTCTGAAATATACTCCCATGGGAGACGGCTTTAGGAACACCCAGGCATCTCTATAATTGCTCCTTGATGAGAGACACAATGGGATGGAAGGAGAGTATCTGTGTTTCCATAAATTCTCTCAAATTGTTAACTCCTCTAAGAGGCAACTTAGTCTTTATTCTTAATTACGACTGGCTCCCAGCCTATCAGAGTTGGGGAGTTTCTTCTAGGCTTCTGTATGCACATACACCAGCCCCATTATTATACTCTCACCTGGGTCATTCATTTAATATACACCTTTTCATGGATATTTTTAGTATATGTCAACAGCTGCTCCTTTATATATATAGTAGTCCCCCTGTCACTGGTAATACTGATATGTCAACTTCAGTAGATCAAGAAACACCCAGCAGATTAGGAAAGGACACTGTGGCTGTGATCTGGATAGCATGGAGATGTGACCTTGGGTACTACACATGGTCCCTTGACCATTTTTCTCCGGCACTGTTTTGCTGTTCTGCTTCTCAACTGCCATGAACTAACCTTGCTCCATCAAGCCATCCACCATGTTTCTGTCTTGGAGCCTGATGATCATGTACTGCATCTCTTGAAACTGTGAGCTGAATTAAACCCTTTTACTTTTAAACTGTGAGTTCTGGGTATTGTGCTCAGCAACAGGAAAGCTAAGTAGTTTAGAAAACTGGTATGTAATAGATGGGTGTGATAAAAAATCCCGTTCGTAATGCTGAGGCAGGAGGATCACTATGAGTTCAAGGCCAGTGTGGGCAATGTAGGTGAGTTTCAAAGGCCCACCCAAACAGTACAGTGAGATTCTGTCTCAAAAACAAAAACAAAAACCAACCCCCACCAATTGCTATGTAAACTGGAGGCATTTAACCTGGTGGTTTAAAAGCTCTAGGAGTGGACTTACTGAAGGAGTTTGGAAAGATCTGGAGATGTGTGCTAGGGAAGAATGAAGTAAGCAGAATCTCATGAATGATCCTGGTTGGAGTACAGAAGACCAAAGGCATAAAGGAATCCAGACAGTGAAAGTCAGGTTCAGAGGGTTTCAGTTTGGAACAAGGACTCCATTGGCAATTGGACTAGAGGTCATGTGTGTTACACTCTGGCAAAAAATTTGTTTACATTTTGTTCATGTTTTGAGACTCTGCAAAAGACAGATTAAGAGTGGTGGACTAATTACTCTGGTGGTGGAAATTTCAAGACAGCCCAACCTTCAGGCTGTGTGATATAGGTACTACTGGTTGCATCTAGTTGGAACTTAAAAGTTAGAACTGGGGGCAAAAGGCAGAACAGAAAAATGTAAAAGACATAAATTTTGGCTCAAAAAGAACCATGTGTAAGATTGGGGCCAAAGAGGTGCAGCTGCTAAGAGATTAGTCCTATTACAAAGAAACTGAGTACAGATATAGAAGAAAGATGCTTTGAAGACATCTCAGGAATCATCAAGACCCCAATGACTGCAGGCTCATGTCCACTGTCTCCTAGCCTAGCCTGAGCACTGCTGAACAGTGTGGCACAGAGTTCCTGAAGCTAATTTTCACTTATTTCTGTATCAGCATGGGATCCTTGTTACACCCAAGACAGAGATAAAAACTTGGTGGTATTGAAGATACTGCTGGATTCTTAAAATAAAATAAAATAAAATAAAATAAAGACAGAGATTAAAAAGGAAAAAATATAGCTAAAGCTGAAGTCTTTGATTTTCCAAAGTGTTGTAATAATAGAATATACACAGAAAGCAGAAATAGGTTTCTATGATTTAATCAATTTTCCAAGTAGGCTTGACAAATGCAAGGTTTATCTAAATCTGTCTTAACATATTTGGAAAGTTTGAAGACACAAAGCCTCCTGGGGCTTCCAGGCTCCTCTTAAATGATAAGGTAATCCTACTTCTTTAGTTTCCAGATTATTCAAGTAGATTCTATGGATTCCTGAGGTTTCAAGTAGGAGGATCATAAGTTTAGTCCTAGCCTGGACAATAAGCAACTTAATGAGACCCCGCCTCACAACCAAAAACAACACAATGAAACACATAGCCTTTGCTGAATTCTTGTATTCCCCAACATGTGGCACTGGGAGAAAAAAAAAAAATTACATGACACCTGTCTTCAGAAATCCGGAATATATAGCCTAGGAGACAAGAGCTTATAGAAAAGTCATCATATAACTTGTTAGTATAGAATTATTCCCTAATTTGTGTAGCACAAACTGCAAAGCATATGAAAATATACTACTTATAGAAGAAACCAATAAGGAAAGTTCCATAGGTGAGACAGAATTCCCTCTCTGCTGGAAGAGGAGAATAGGATTAAGTCAGAATGCATCAACTTCCTGCCTGCTTTCTGGTCCCTTGGTCCTTCCTCTCTGCACTGTCTTCCTCTGCTTTCCCACTGCCATGAACTCAGTAGCTTTGCTCTACCATGCCTTCCACTATGGTGTTTCTGCCTTAGATCCAATGACACTGAACCAAATCCTGGGAAACTACACCAACAAAAGCAAACTTCTCCTCCTATAAACTGTGGATGATAAGTATTTGTCCTAGTAACAAGAAATACATACATAACCTTTACATTTCATCTTTGTATTTTTCTTTGTAGATAACATTGGCAGGAACTATTGAGTTGCTTTTCTACTGGTGATGGTGATGGACATACATTTGTGGAGACTCTCCACAGCTGCCCGTTCAGTTTCCTATGCAGACTACTGTCGGCAGAACTGAGGTTCAGGCAGTGGTTCCAGAATGGATTGAAGGTAAGCTTGTACACACACATACTACAACCAGAATGTGACTGGACGTACTGCCCAGCATGCACTGCTTGCCATCCTTCTTCACATATGCACCTGGCTTGTGGCTGCAACTGGCCTGAAGTTCTGGTTCCCTAAGAGTCCTAGCCCAGGAATCAGTATCAGAGTATGTCCTTACATCATTCCACTGGCCTGTGGTAGATCAGATAGAAAGATTAAGGCCTAACTAGCCTCTTCTGTAAACAAAAAGGTGATATGAGAGCATTTTGATATGCTGCAAGGAAAATTAATATAGCTGAGATTCTACTGTTTATTCATTCAGGTATGTACCACGGATGGTGGGAAACAGAAGAATTCTATTTTACTCTTATTGCCTGTTCCTGTGCCTGAGTGAGTAAGGCCAAGATATGCCAGTGCTCAGGGCTCTTTATCAAAGGGAGACAAGAGCACCCTAGGCCCTCTTATTTTAACCTAATTCTGTGACTCTTTGTGATTCTTCTGTGTTGCCTCTTGGTCAGGTGCAAGCTCACAGGTTGGTTCCCTACACTGGCCCAGAAGTGTGGCTACAGACGTGGGTCAGAAAGCTCTGTTCTGACTACCCCACTAAAGACCCAGGTCTCTGTTAACTGCTGTTTAATTAATCAATCTTCCCAGGTCCCTATTAGGGAAATCAATACCTGTTAAAGTTGTTTGTCACTGTGTGAGTCTGTTTGTTTGTCTCTTTTAAGAAAGGGTTTTGTTATGTGGTTCAGTGGCCTTGAACTCGCTACATAGCCCAGACTGGCTTTGAAGTCACAACAATCCTTCTACCTCAGCTCCCTGAGTGCTGACATTATAGGTATGGGCCACCACACCCAGCTAACACAGGTCTTTGCATGCAAAGAAATAGAAAACTTGTTGGTCTGTTGGGCAAGGCTAGCTTATTCTCAGCTTGTACTTTCACACTAGATCAGTGCAATCTTAGTTACTTATTCCCACCTGTGGTGGACGCTGTGGCACAAAGCCTGGGTCTCGGGTTGTCTGAGGACATGATAGGGATGTGAACCCACTGTCCAGCACAGGTGCAGACTGGGACACATTTATGTAACCATGAGTTAGCTGTAGTAAACCATGTATGCACTGGTTAGGCTCAGCATAGAAGTATGTAAATGGATGGTAATAGCATATATAAGAAACAAACAATACAGATGCAACTACTCTTCCTTGCTGTTGCCTGCCTTTTGAATTGATGTCTGCCCTGTATGCTTTCTATTTTCTGGAGATCTCATCTGCAAAAGTACCTCACCAGGCCTCCAGGCATGACAACTGGCAGCTGTGAAAACAGCACTATATGGCAAAGAAGAGCCCTGAGAGATTGCTGATATACATCTCCTGGCATCATGTTGGTTAACTACAGGTTAACTACAGGTTAACTACCTTTTTGGCAGCTTGGAAGGCTGTGGAGGACTTGGAAGAAGTCTACCCAGAACCCAGGGATGTTTGGAACGCCTTAAAAGTGATAGCCACAGAGATTCCTCCCTCCCGTCAGAAGTCGACAGGTGGCCTGGCTTTTCTTCACCCTTTTTCTCTGTGTGGGTCAAGAAGCAGAAGTCCTCATCTGGCAGGTAGGTCAGTTGCAATGCATTGAAGAGGACCTGGTGCAGTGGCTGACTGCCACGCATGTCATGTTGAGAGGCTCAGATAGTACAGGCTCATCCTGAAGCATCTCCTGAAGTAGAAGGTCCCCATCTCCAGGAGTCCTGAGACGGACCCCTGATTTTGCATGCAAGGCCTGCTGTTCACCAGAAGGTGCAGGTACAGAAATCCATAACCCAAAGAGGAGGGGAAGGCCCACCCATGTGTACCTGGCATACAACATATATGACCTACACTGCGATGGAGTTGTGGGAGCTGGCAAAAGGTGGGTAAGACAGTGCTCGCATGGCTGTTGCAGCTGTGGGACGGGGCTGATAATAGAGTTGAGTGCACAAAAGATTCCCTAGCTAACAAAGCCAGTACCTCCCTTGTGGATTCTGCAGGACATGCAGAAAACAGCTCTGCAGGCAGGTAATCAGACTTTGACAAACTGGTTATGGCAACAATTGGTTTGGGCAAACCCATGTGATTTATTGGAGCAAGTTACAAATGGACAACCTATCTAGACTTAGTATCTGTGCTGAGGAAAATAGAAATGTGCCAAATAATGTTTGCTATACAGTACTATAGCTCTGATGAGGAATTGCTTAAGACATGCATGAAGGACATGATCTTCACAAACGGGCTGGCTGGCTTGTTTGGGACAGTGGCAGCCCTTCACAGATTGCCTGATCCATGACACTGAACGCTTTAGTCCAACTGGGGGATGTGGAAGTAAAGTACCATCACATACCGCATTGGCAAAGGGAAAAAAGTAGGTGGCTCCTGAGTAAGTGAGGGCCAACACCCCATGGACAGGCGGCAGAGCAGCTGAAGTCCAGCCAGCACCAAATTTGGACGGACCTGCTGATTGCTGGCTTAGCTGCACAGAAGATAAGACAGGCAGCCCTGGATGCATTGCTGACTCTTTAAATGCCTCAGTGTGTTCTCTGTCTGATTGCTGACACAAACAAGTGGTGGGATAACCAGAGGCTCATCAGTGCTCACCAACCAGCCCACTGGGGAGACCTCATGGGTCTGTGGCAACACAGGGTGGCCATACCTATCTATACACTGGACAGAACGCAGCACCTGGGGATTTTCATATGTAAAGGGCACTATCAGACCCACTCCATGGTTGGGATACTGGGTATCACAGGTGGGCACTGTACTGAAAGGTTGGCCGGGTGGTTTTATCTAATGGCCTATCTGATGTTGCCAGGGGCAGGAACCACAGGCTTAGCCATGCAAGCTGAAGCCCTTACTCAACATATGGCCCAGGCCTTGATTGTTACATAGCAGGCTCTGATGTTGCTCATAGATGAGACATTTCAAATGAGAGAGGTGGTTTTGCAAAAGTGCACAGCTCTCAATTCGCTGACTGTAGTGCAAGGTGGCACTTGTGCCCTCTTGTATATGGAATGTTATGTTTCCTAGCCTGATCACCAGATGCAGGTACAAGAAGCCTTGCAGGAAACAGATGTAGAATTGTGTGCCATCCATGCTTTGCAGCAAGACACCCCTGCCCAATGATGGTAATCCTTGAGGTCCGCTTGGCACTGAATAGCCATAAGTTGTGTTGTGGTGGCAATATGGTTGGCAGTTATGATGTTCCCTTTACTGTTGTTGTGGTCATTGTGCACAGGCTCAGCCCTCTGGGTTGCTCACAAGGAGCAATAGTCCCCTGACCTTCGAGAGGATGGGATGTGGGGGACGCTATGGCTTCAAACCTCAGGTTTCCGGTTTTCTGAGAACATGCTAGGGACATGAACCTAATGTCTCCCCTTGTAGATGTCCCTCTATAGCCCATTTCTTAGGCAGTTGGCTCATAAAGGCTCTGCTTACCGTTTTTACAAAAGATAAATTGTCTTCACTGTCCAGAGGCACAATTCTAGAAGAAGAAAGAGATGGGAAAAAGCCACATTAAAGAATTTTTACATGTATGGAGATGTGCAATGTTCTGTTTTTAAAATTGGTAATGACAACTCACAACTTGAATTTCTTTTAGGGATTTAAAACAGTAATATCTTGGCTGCATGTAGAATCAGCATGTGTACCCCTGGAGTGAATTACATCCATCCCTGTCCTCACTCTCAGCCTTGGGCAGTAGGTACTTCTGATACAAGGGTTCAGCTAAACACTGCCAGTCCAAACCCAAGTCCAGAATGGTGCCTTGGACTGAGGCGACATTGTGAGAAGACTGACAAATAGCAGCAGCTACAAAACTCTCTTTACCCTCCCAACCTTGCCCCATGGGAGGAGGCCCTACAACTACACACTTACCTTCCCTGATTATTCACAGCATGTATATGAAAAGCCATCTTGGAGCTATAGATCGAAAACAAAACAAAACAGAAGTCAGTTTGCTATTGCTTATTACCTGGTTGGAATTCTCCCGGACACGTGATTCTGTAGTCTGCTTGCTCTGGGCTTTCCAAGCCAACCAATGAGGTGTGTGTCATTCCTGTCTTACAGATTTACCTTAGGCATTTTAGATATCTGTCCTAGAAGCCCATGTCAGCAGCAAGTGTAGCAATACTAGGGCTTCTGTGCTAGTTCTTAGGACTGCCCAGAGCAGAAAGAATGCCTACTGCAAACTGGGAGCGACTCTCTATGGCCCACATCTACATACTGCCTTGACCCTCTCCTCTTCACTACCTTTGTGACACACAGCCAGGATTGCTCTGTGTCCAAGCAGAGGCCATGCCTCTGTTACTCACAGTAAATTACTATAGAGCTGCAGAAAGAGTCAGGACTTCAGTGCTGAGAAATAATCAAAAATTTAAAATTGTATAAGCTTAATTTCATGCCTTAAGAAACATGGCAACACTAACTTCCTGTGTGTATTCATGGCTCCTTCTCCTTTCAGAGTACGTCTGCTATTGTGATGCAGTTTGAATTCTCACTGAAGTAATTCTCATGGAGGGAAGGGGATGGGGCTCTAAGTGGAGGACTGGCCCTGGGAAACTCTTTTCCCATTGCTTCGTGCTTTTCCCTTGTGTCTCCCTCCAGTTAGGACCTTGGGCCTCGGCTCTGAGATTGAGAAATGACCTGACCAAGAGCCTGAGATGAAGAGGAGGAGAATGACTGTGTCAGATATGAGAAGACCTCACTACAATAGTAGCTAAGGTCTACATGCCTAATGACTTTGCAAGATGAATAGTTCAGAAGACAGAAGTAAGTTGGGCATGGTGGTACACACCTGTGATCCCACCCATTCAGGAGGCTGAGGAAAAAAGATCCACCTGGGCAACTGTTTCAAAAATAGCAAAACTGTATCAAAAATCATTAAATAAGAAGGGCTGGGGATATACCACAATAGTAGGTAATATAGCGCTTGCCTAGTAAGTACCAGGCACTGAGCACAATTTACAGTATTGGGAAACAAACAAGCAAACCCAAATAGCTGCATTGTTATCTATTTTGCCCAAGGTAACATAGCTGGAAAGGGAAAAATCTCTCTCAAATAAATTCACCACCAGGAAAAGACAGTGCATGACCAGATATGATGGCACATACCCATATTCCCAGCACTGAGAGAAGGGAGGTAGGAAGATTAAAAGTATAAGTCCATGGGGACTTAGCTCAGTGGTATAAGTGCCTGTCTAGCAAGCACGAGGTTGTGTGTTTGATTCCTGGTACCAAAAAAAAAAAAAAAAAAAAATGTGTAAAAAGTGTAAATCCTGTCTGGGCAATTTAGGAAAACCCTGTCTGAAAATAAAAAATAAAAAGGGCTGGGGATGTAGTTCCATGGTAGAGTGCCCCTGCATTCAATCTGCAGTACTTTAAAACAAAAAAAAAAAAAGAAAGAAAGAAAAGAAAAATGAAAGGTAGCACAAGGCCTACAAGATCAGGCTTTCTCTATGCATTCCCTTTCATGGCCAGAACACAATAAAATTCAGAAGACACAGGAGAATAGAGACCCAAAACAAGAAGAGCGCCCTACACTGGAGTTCTGACTCTACTCCTGGAGCTGCAGTAACAGCATACACTTCTTCCTGTTAGGTCATCTGACTGACTTACTATCATATGCTCCTTTTCACTACCCAGAGTAGAGAATGGGGAGCGTGGACTGGAGGCACCACGGAAGATAAACCAGAAATATTCCTAAGTAAAGTTGTACCCTTTGCATAAAAGTATACAAAAAATGGCCCTGTGGGACAGGGGTCTTGGTGGGCATGAAAATGCAGCTGCAGACAAAGACCACAGAGAGATGCACTGGGATATGCTAGGAGCATGACAGAAGACTGCAAGAAGTCAGATTCCCAGCCATCTAGATTCTGTCACCTGACAGGTGGATGAGGTCCATTACAAGTCTCTTCTAAGCAGTGATTATCTTCTCCTGTCTAGGCTCCCTTTCTCCAAGAAACCCACCTCCCAGGTTCCCCAAGTCATCCTTCTAATCTTAGAACCAGGCCTGTCAGGTTGTCCATGGTTCAGTTACCAATTTGCATCACATTCTAGCTTCAGAACATATGAGTGACTCTTTCTCTTATAGTTCTTATCTTGGACTCCTTTGCTTCTCAAACAAAGGCCTAATTGTGAATAATTCTTCATACATTCCATTATTTTATCAGAACATTTCTCAAAGAGCAGATGGAACATAATTATAAGGGACAAAGTTCTTAAAAAAGCAAACAAAAAAATTCTTTATCAAAAGAACAGCCATTGTTGGGGATTTAGCTCAGCAGCAAAAGTGCCTGCCTTGCAAGTGTGCAGTTGTGAATTCAATCCCCAGCACCAAAAAAACTCCTAAAACAACAACAAAAAAAAAACCCCCTAAAACTCCAGCCATTGCTTACCGTAGTGCTGTCTTAAACTGAACCAACTCAAAGAAATCTAATCCAGATCCCAGAGTCTGCTCTGCTATCTCCTTTGCCTGTAAAATCAGTAACAAAACAGGGACAGTTAGCATGAAGGCAGCAAAAAGTGCCCACATTATTGATAGGAATGGCCCGACTAACAGTGCATTCCCTCTAAGTGACTATTTTGCATACATCAAGAGATTAAAGTGAAAGCGTCATGTTAAGGGAAACAGGTGCTGCTTTCTTCAGGTTGAGTTCATAGGAAAAACCTGCACTCAGGCAGGTGGGCACTGGCACCTGAGCTGCCAAAGATGTAAGCAGCTGGAGTGATGCCAATGGCATGTAATGTCTAGAAAAGTGCTTTTTTCTCCCCTTCTCCCCTGGCTCTAGAGGAGGGACCTCTGCCTTCAATTTCTGCCAGATGCACAGAATATTCAATAGCTAGAGTTACAGAAGATCAGTTAGAAATCAAAGAGGTGAGAACTAATAGTGAAAGTGGTCCCATGGCTATGCACAGGCCTACAGCTGTGGTAGCAGTTAAAGGGCTGAGAAGTACCACATCAAGGCCAGGATTCCAGTGGAGTGAGGAAGGAGATGGCAAGGAGCTGGTGACTAAGGCTACGATCTCTCAGCTATCTACATCATACACAACCTTTCCAATGTCAACTGGCTTCCTTCAGGAAAGGTCCTATTGGCATAGGGAGGCATCAAGCTGACTCTTCTCATCTCCTTACTGGGTCAGATTTAGGAATCCAACTCAGCAGGGCAGGTTAACCGCAAAACAGCAAGGAAGAAAATGGTCAGAGAGTGAAAACATACCGCTTGTCTAGGAAAGGCAAGGCAGACTTCCTAGTCCATAGCTGATTTTTAAAATACTGCATTATAGGAAACCAAACTATGTAGCTCAAAACTCACTTAACTATTACAATTCACAGTGGAATGATCTATATTTTTCATTTACATCTGATAGTGTTTTGTTTAAACTATTAACAAAAGAATGTAGTACAGAATAACTTTCCAAAAAACAAAACTGATGTCCACAAGGAAATATCAATTAGTATGGTCGCAGGCAGCAGAAGCTCAGCCCTTTACAAGCACCTCTTGCCTGGTGCCACAGAGGCCTGAGCACATAAAGAGTGAGTACTGCAAGGGGTCTAAAGAATAAACTAATAGATAGGGTGCTTTATATTAAAATAATGACTACGGAGAGAGAAAGAGAAAGACAGAAAGAAACATGGTATTTAAATTACCTTTGTTAGACTGGAAGTTTTAGCATAACATGCAATGCCAGTCAAAACAGCCTCAATAACAGCAGCATATATCTGGGACAACAGCCTACTTCAAAAACAAAAAATAATGGGTTAACTATCGTATCATAAGGTTTGGTCAAAAGCTTCATGCACATAATGAAAGTCTTCAAGGAGCTGATGTTTTGTTTGTTTATTTTTGAGACATAGTTTTGCTATGTAGTTCAGGCAGGTCTTGAACTCATTACATAGTCCAGGCTAGTCCTGAACTTGCAGGGATCTTCTTTCAGCTTCTTGAGACCTGGGATTACAAGTGTTCACCATCATGGCTGGCTGTTTTGTTTTTTAACAGAATAAGAAAAGTCCAAAATGAAACTCATTGAAAAAACAAGTCTAAATCTTTTGTTTTTTGTCTTTTTCCTTTTTATCGGTACCGGGGATCGAACTCAGGACTGCCTGCTTACAAGGCAGGCGCTTATGCCACTGAGCTAAATCCCCAGCACCCAAGTCTAAATCTTTTAAAAGTCATATGGTTGTTTGATTTATGCTTTGCTCTATTAAACCATCTTTTAAAAAGTCAGCTTCTCTGAATTCTGTTCAAAAGACTGATCCTATTTATTGTCACCAGAATATAACTAGCAGGCTCCCTGATTCCTCTACATGCAGGAGCAGCAACCTATGGACTAAGACTCCTTCAGTGTATTGACAGAGATTTGCAGTTTTTCCAGGGCCCAGCCATGCCACGATTTCACGGTGTCTCACCAGACCTGCTAAATGCTAGCTGGTAGTGGAACTTCAGAGGACAGGAAAGACTGCCTGACTTGAGAAGAGGCTGGGTTCACTGAAATTCAGATGAAACAGCTGCAGGCTGCTCTCCAAGTGGCTGGCCACATCTAGAGAACAGAGCATGCTTCTGAGGGACTGCTTATCTTTCTCCAGAATATTGCTCTTTCTATGATGATTCACCTCCCAGAGTCATTTCAAAAAGATTCTATGCTGGACAGCAACTGCCATGAAGGTCTCTAAAAAAATCTAAGTGTGGTTCCCTTTTATGGAAGGTCTTCCCACCTCTGGTGTTTGGGGCTGGATCATTCTTCACTGTGGGGTCTACTGTGGGGTCTACTGTGGGGGCAGTGAAGCACTGCCATGTGCTTTGTAGGGGAATCCTTTAACAGCATCCCTCACCTCTATTCACTAGACACCAGCAGCACTTCCCACTTGTGACAACCCACTTGTCAGCTATGCGCAGGGCTGGGGAAGGTGGGGACGAGGTGGCAGATTTGTCCTTAGTTGAGAATCACTATTTTAGTAGAAGACCTAGATTCTAAAGAAGGCTCATCTTTGAGGCCCTGACAAGCAAGGGACATCTGGCAAGGAACTGAAAAGGTCTCATAAAGAATCTATTTTTAAGTCCATAAGACTCCAGAAGGTACTAGTAGTTTGAAAGTGGGCAGAAACACAGAAATGATCTGATCTAATCCTCTCATCTTACAGAAACAGCAGCAGGGATCTGGGGATGGAATAAGCTGTTGAGAACCACAGAACAGCAGCAGGGGTCTAGGGATGGAATAAGCTGTTGAGAGCCACAGAAATTCCAGGCAGACTGAAACTCAGGTCTACTCTCAGTCTGGTACCCTTCCACTGTGCCGTATCACACTGTCAGAAACTTCAATTCCTCTCGGGCTCCTGTGCCACACTTTAATTTTGTAGGTGCGACAGATGACTAAAGAAAAAGTGACAGAATTCACATAACAAAATGATAGCTTCCTGGATTAACATATCCTGAAGACTGCTGGGCAGACGGAAGTAGATGGTACACATGGCAGAAAGGGCTGCAGAAGGGACACTGATGAATAACACCCCTGCCCTGACTTCTATTTAGAGCCTTACATTGGAGTCAATACATAGCCAGTACTTGGTTACTGATCCACAAAGTGGCCTTGATGGTGCTTCTGTCAGTAGCACTCCATGAGGCCCAAGTTGTACTGGCTCTGTGATTTGGAAAAATCTCCTGACATGGGTGCAGGTATTCCTTAATACCAGTTCCAAGTGCAGGGCATTTGGTTTAGGCAAAATTCCCAGAGATCTCGAAAGAGGTTCATGGGCAAATGGTTAAGCTTGGCTGGCATGGAAGTGCAAGCATGCACGAAGCAAGACTATACCCAACGATATATGAGAAAATAGTTTAGTTGCTGCTAAGTGAAGGAAACCTACAAAAAAAGAGAGAAAGAACTATCTACACATTATGATTAGTTACATAAATCCTTAAAAAAAACTTTTACCATAATTTTTTTTGTTGTTGTGTTTTTGAGGCAGGGTTTTGCTATGCAGTTTAGGCTGCCTTGAACTCATGGCACTCCTCTTGCTTCAGCTTCCTAAGTGCTGGGATAGGCATGCAGTACCATGCCTGGCTCACACAGTATTTTTAAAGCCCAGAAAGATATACTGTGCACTAGGTACTAATTCAGAGAGGAAGAATTATTATTTTCCTTTCTCTACTTCTGTATTTTCTGTAGTACTATGATTATGGTAGTCCTTGCATTACATTTTCCCCAGTACAGTTTTGTGGGCACTGTCTTAGAAATGCTGATTCAGCTGTTTTGGGATTGGGTCAGGGGAACCTTCATATTGAAGGTATCCTTAGCTCATCTCTGGTCGGTCTGTAGTAGCCTCTGGGAAGCACTAGTCTAGATTTCACCAGGTTATATGGGGGTGTCTAATTAGGTGATAACAGAACTTTACTAAGACCATATTTCTGGGAAAGGATACTTTCTGGAATTTAGCCATTTCAGCATTAATGAATTTATTTCCTGACTCTGTTTCCTGCATGGATAAGGTAAAACCTTTCTAAGACTACAGATCGCAGCTCTATTCCACAAGCTTGAATGTTGAGTCCAGAGAAAACACTCCTCAGGTCACATGGGGTTTCAGAGATTTTCCCAGCAGATTTCAGAATGCTTTATTTTAAGAGACACCCACAATAAAAAAAGCACTATGTAGAAAACATATGAAGGGTAGCTTTGTCACATAATGCAGGGATGTATAGATAGGAAGATTCTTGAATTTGAGAAAGAGGAGCAGATAGCAAGCTGGTGGGATCCTCTTGGGAAACTAGAGTGGTTTACCTCATAACCAGAAATTACTGCTGATCTCAACAGGAAATAGGACAGTCACAAATAAGAGGCTCAACTTAAAGCCAGAAAAATTAAATACAAAGACTTACATTTGTTCAGTTTTCTTGGGCAGCTTATCATTCTTAGACAGCTTATCATCACCACCTATGATAAAGTACATGTATTAAGAATGTGATGAGAGTACTGCCATGTGTGATGGCACATGCCTGTAGTCCGGGCACTTGGTAAGCTGAGGCAGGAGCATTGCTTCAAGTTCAAGGCTAGCCTGCACTACTTAGCAAGACCCTGTCTCAAAACAAAACAAAAAACCCCACAAAAAACAAAACAAAACAAAACAAAACGAATGTGATAATAGCACAGGATATGCAAGCACTTTGTGAAGCAGCTAGAAGAGTTTAATTTAATTCAAGAACACCACTTTTTAAAAAGTTAAGTACAGTACAAGCACAAGTAACAGGGGAACCTGACTCCTTTCAGTAACCTCCTGGACTTTCACTTCTGAGATGTCCGATTCAGCATCACCACTAAGCAACAAAGAAGATGTGCAGAATCAGGCTCTGGAATATTTCTTCTTTTTATTTTTAATTTTTTAAACTTTGAGGTATCAGAAAACAAGCTCAATTCTGCTTCTTTATTTCCTTAATTATTTGACCCATGTCATACTCTTTCCTGAGTTTCCTAGCTTATGTAACAACACAAAAGAGAAAACTCTGCTTATGCTGTAGCCCACTCTGCCAATGCTGAGATCCACATTTATTCTAGAAGTTTCTTCCACGTCTCTTTGGAAGCCCTGTTAGCCTTCCCTTCCTAGATGGTGCCACAGCAAGTTCCTAACAGGTATCCTGTTACAGCTTTTCTTATGTTCTTCACAAGACAGGCAGGCACCAAGCCAAGTCCTCCTGCTATATCAAATGAAGTCTTTTTATTTCACCCTTTCCTGTGACCACAAGCACAGGACCCTACACTTGGACAGACCTCTAAACCACAGGCTTAACTAGGTTTTCTCCAGAAATACATTTTGTGAGTAATATGCTAAGACATATCAACTCTTGCTGCAAATTGTTATCAAGAGCTTCTGAGCAAAGTAGTTAAGTTTCATGTTAATAAAATTACATGGCAGAAGCAATTCATTATGATGACATGACAATTAATGAGATGACAATTTATAGAGACTTACCTAAGTAAGGAACATGAGTAGCTCCAAAAAAGTATGTTCTTGAACATGCAAGAGGTCCCTTTGGTGAGATACATTGTGCTACCTGGATGTCAGAAAAAAATGAAAAAGGGACAGAGACTCAGGCAGAGTATATTGCTAGAGAAACAAAAAGCACACAGTTAGTGGAAATAAATTGTATTTTACCAAAACTGATCTGTTATTTTTTAAAGATGTACAAGGTCACCTTTAATTTTTTGTTTTCTTTTTTTCGGAGACAGAGTCCGGGTTGGCCTCTAACTCACAGCAATCCTGTCTCAGCTTCCTAAATGCTGGGATTACAGCTGTATACCACCACATTCATCTAATTTTTTTCTAAATGTACATATTTCCAAAGGTATCTTTTATATGTGTATTTGGTTTTATTTGCATACAATGGCTGTACAGTTGTTGTTGAGACTCAGTGAGCCCAGGACACTAATGACTCAAAGGAAAGCATAACTTAGAAAGAAAAGAGACAATGTTTGAGTTTTGACCCCCATTAATATTCAGCCCAAAGATTTCATAGTAAAAACCATCACCCATACTGAAAGGGAAAAACTGTACAAGAGAAACTGTTCTTTTTTTTTTTGTCTTTTTCATTTTTATCGGTACCGGGGATCGAACTCAGGACTGCCTGCTTGTAAGGCAGGCGCTTATGCCCCTGAGCTAAATCCCCAGCCCCAGAAACTGTTCTTTTTAAACCTTTGTTCTTTTGAAACTACCTAACTCTGTAACTGCTTCAGGGTTTTGTAATTACTTTCTTGACTCCTGTAACCACAGGAGTTTAAGCAAACATACAGGATGCCAGTTTGTACCATTGTACCAAACTTTATAAACTGATAGTCATTTATACAAAGTTTTTTTCCCTTCTGGTACCAGGGATTGAACTCATGGCCTCACGCTTACCAGGCAAATGCTTTAGTGCTGAGTTAAATCCCCAGCTCCAACCTGATGATCATTTATTTATTTATTTTTTGTCTTTTTCCTTTTTATCAGTACCGGGGATCGAACTCATGACTGCCTGCTTGCAAGGCAGGTGCTTATGCCGCTGAGCTAAATCCCAAGCCCCCAAACTGATGATCATTAATCTTCACTTATAACCAATGATGTCACCCTGCTAGCTAATCAGAAGAACTGCCAATTATTCTGTCTCACCTTTGTACCTCCTCTGCACCTCCTGCTAGTGCATTATATAGAAGTCCTAGATCACCAGACGGGGGGCCTGATATTCTGGGAGTAACTCCCATCAGTGCCTGTTGACATAAATAAATCTGCCTCCAAATCCTGGTTGGTATTTTGGTGTTTTCTGCTCGTGGTTGCAATATGACAGACAGAATTGCGAGGTAGTGACAAATTCATTTTATACAGAGATGGAAATGGTTGTATCGCCTAAGGGTTCCTAGTACAGTAGTTATAAAATACAAAAATGCTGACGTGAGAACTGAAAGAATGAAAATTAATACGATATATAAACAATAGCTGAATTTTCACAAATATTCATTCCCCTCTATTTTACTCAATTTAAGGAAGCCATACCAGAATACAGAGCATTTTCTGTAATATTACAGATATGAAATAAGAACTTATTCTAATTATAATTCATTATAGTAAACATACATCAATATTGCCATAAGTATGAAAACTTGAGTACATAGTTCTAATTTTTTTTTTTAGATAGGATCCTGCTATGTAGTTCAGGCTGGCCCTGTACTTACTATGTAGCCAAGAACTTAGTATGTTGGCCTCAAACTAGCAGCAATCCTTCTGCTTCAGCTTCCTGAGTGCTGGGATCACAGCTGTGCGGCCTCTACTCTAAACCTGGCTCTATTCTTAATTACTGGTTAATATATTTTATTGTTTTGGAATATTTCCTCAAGTAAAATATGCTCTTTGAATTTCCAAATTTTCCCTTACTAAAGCTTTTTTAGACCAAGTGTGGTGGCGCATGACTGGTAAATCTCAGCACTCCAGAGGCCACGGTAGGAGGACTCTTGCTAGTTTGAAGCTAGTCTGTATAGTGAGTTCAGAGCCAGACTGAACGACACAGTGGATCCTGTCTCAAAAAACAAAACAAAAATAACCAAAACAAAAAGACTTTTTAAAAAAACAGGCTCCTTACATTATTCACTTACTTCTACATGTTGCTTATTTTTTTCATTAGATTCCTTAACATAATAAACATAATTATGTAGGGGCATCATGGACGGACATAAAAAACCCAGGGCAAATACTTATCTATGGCTGATGGCTGTCATATCATTAAATAGTGCTTATCATGTACCGTGTAGTTGAAGAAAAATGTACCCTGCTATATCCTTATGAAAATGTTACTCTTGCTTAAGAAATTCCCAAATGACTTTGTCCCCTTGCCAGAAACAAAAGTTAAGGTCCTGCCTGGTCTAGCCACCCCAAGCAACAGAACAGTTTGCCCCATTAAATACAGACACACCTTGTATGACCTGGCATTTGAGCAGGAGCTGGATGCCCCCATCTGCAGCATCACTTTGCTGCTAAGATGGTTCTTCTGCCTTCTCTAAATAAGCTTTTGCTCTGTACCATATTAGTCTTGATTCTCTCATTTGCTGCTAAGAGCCTCGCTTCATTTTTTTTGCTGCAGCAAGGGCAAGTACTCAAAGAAAGGCGGAGAATCACTACAGAGGACTCCTGACCCTTTACTCAAAGACCCTTATCCCTATTGGACACAAGAAATATTTTATCTACTTATATTTAGTTTTTTCTGAGTCAGGGCTGGCCCTGAACTCATGGTAATCCCCCTGCCTCAACCTGCCAAGTGCTGGGATTACAGGGGTGGACCACCACACCTAGCTAAACATTTGTTATTTTAAATATTCTGTCTACGGCTAAGACTACAACTCAGAGGTAGAGCACTTACCTAGACTATTTAATAAAGCCCTAGGTTTGAGGCCCTGCTCCCCCAAACAAGAATGTAAGTAAATAATCTGTCTGAAAAATTACAAAATATGAATACTATTTGAGTCTGGTTCTGACAGCTATATTTTCCCCTTCTTCTCTTTTTTCTTTTGTCTTCCAGATAAGGTCTCACTATGTAAGACTTCTTTACATCACTATATGTAATTACTGCTGAAGCAGTAATTACCTGTCATACTGTGGGCCTGTTGGGGTGGTGCTAAGGTGAGCAAGGAGGGAAAGGGCCCTATCATTGTGTGACTAAATGTTAGTCTACAAGTAGATTGTGTTTCTGGGCTATGACCTTCCCAAGAGTTTCTTAGCTTTCTTTTTTTCCCCTTCTAGCTGAGGGAAGGAGGGCGAGAGTGCAACAGATTCTGGGAAATGCCCTTCTCTCAAATGGAATATAGCTTGGGTAAACTTGTCCTAGACAGTAGATCTTTGCTACTGAGGACTTTGCTATTGTCTCTGTCATATTTCAAAACATGTACTCTTCCCCCACCAGAACCAAAATCCATGAGTAGAGATTCTCCTGTGTGCCATAGGAGCCTCTCACTGCAGCAGTCCACATTCAGCCCAAAGGATTTCATCACAGTCAATGCTTGAGTATTACCAGCAGTGTTAGCTGTAGTGGCTTATGCTTCTGCAAGCAGATGCTGGCTCGGACCCTCAGAATCTACCTCTCCACACTTCAGGGTGGCACTTGGTCTTGAGACTCCTCCAAGAAAGGGCACTGATTTTCAGTTTATTCACCCTTTTTAAAATACAGGGACAATTTCTAAGCCCTTTATATGTCAGATCTGAAACAAAGTCTCCTATGAAGACTTCTCTGACACTGCTTCAGTGGGTGCACAGGAGGACCTGCCACTCATCACTGCCAGGCAGGAGTGAAGCCCAGGTTCTCACCAAGCTGCTGTTGTGTGCGTGTATGGGGGAGGGAGTTCAGATCCCCAGAATGCCTTAGCTGGTACCCTACTGGCTCAGGAGAGTGACAATTGCTATGAGTAAGGAGCAGGTCTTGTTTTGTTTTTGCAGTTCTGAGAACTGGAACCAGGGCTTTTGTGCTGAGCTAAGTACCAGCCTTTTTTTATTCTCAGGTAAGGCTCACTAAGTTAGAGGTGGCCTGTTACTGCTTACTGGTGCTTCAGACCTTCTGTGACGCAGTGCCCAAGGAGAGGTCCCTTGTTACTATAGGTGGGATGACTGCCAGGCTTCCCACTCTGTCTCCTCTGACATCATCCTGAGGAGAGTGAGGGAAGGGTACCAGTTCCAGTCTGGAGAGGGCAGAGGTCTAGGCTCTTCACTCATTCTGTTATGGATTAAGAACTGGTGGTCAACTTAACGCCAGCTGGATTTCATCAGCATGGCACTAAGCGAAGATGCTCCACCTGAGGAAAGTTGCCAGCATAAATAGGTGGGGAAGGAGAAGGAGGTTGTTGAGGTGTTAATGTGTTGTTGCATGAAGGCATTGTGGGTTCTCCCATGAGCTGCTGTTTGAGCCACTGGTTCTCCTGGAGAAGCTTTGGTCCTCACATCGAGCATTGCTTCCTGGCTCCGGAGAGGATGATGTGTGCCACTTGGTCTCCAGGAAGAACTTGTCACGCTAGCTTCTTGGCATGTACCCGACTGTGCTTGTCATAGGAGAAGCTCAGGGCCTCCATGTCGCTGAGGATAGCTGTGGTGTCTTTCAGGACAGCTCTGGTCTTTGTTGTGAGTGGGACTTCTTGGCTCTAGCATAGAACCCTCATCCCACCAGCGCAGCTCCTTCACCCTGCTGGCATGGACTTTCTGGCTTTTACTGCTGACCTTTGGGCCTTCCTAGTATGGATCCATAAAAGAGACTGGTGTGAGTTCTGGTGGGCTCTGGACCTCCAGTTGGACTCGTGGGAGGCACTGTCTTGAGCTTTGGGTTTTTATCTGGACTCATGTAGGACACTGCTGTAGGATTTAGACCCTTGACCAAATATTCTATGTCTTTTGTGTTATGGATAGATTTCCTGCATTTTCTTGTGTTAATTCCTGGTGACCATTATAAAAATATTATAAAATCTATGTCCTGATTCTACTTGTTCTCCGCATAATCCCTGACTACAACACATCCCATGGGCAGGGCAAGGGTGGAAGGCAGTTTTCTGTGGGGTCTGCATTCAGCAGTTGTCTAAGAGCTTTCTTAGACCCTCTGAGACTGGGTCTCTGAGTATCTCTGGATAGTCTCCAGTAACCAGTTTGGATATAAAGGAAAAGGAAAACCCAGAGAACTCACCCCATAATATTTCTTTGGTCCTGGTCAATCTGCTTTCCACTACTGTCTTTGAGTCTGCTTATGTTTGTTTTATATGAAACATGCAGGGTTTTTAGTCATACTTAGTGAGAGAAATAGGAAAAATGTGTCTATTGTTTTCCTAAAAGGAGGAGTCAGATTGTTGCCTCTTTTTTTTTTTTTTTTTTTTTAACATATTCAGTTAACCAGTAAGATTACAGAGAAGGCTGCTCTGCCTAGCATTGTATATACTCTAAAGAGTGTCTGGGTGACTCAAATGAGATCTGAGCCCTCCATCCTCAGAACAGTAAGGTGGTGATGGTATATGCACTCTGGGAGCCCAGTATCCTGGACTGGCTTGAAGGTAGATCTAGTTCTCAGCCCAGAGAAACTAAGCTACACCTACTTGGGTCTTATCTTCTCCAAATCCAAGTGAAAAATAGTAGTACCTACCATTCTAGCTTTCCTTATTGCCAGGAACATTTTGAAATCACATTAAATTCCATTAACACAAGACTTTTACGATCATTAGAATCCTATGTGTAAGTCTAATATTTCTTTTAAAGAATATAAAAGATAATGGGGTGTAATGGTGCATGTCCAGAACTCTAGAAACTGAGGCAGGAAGACTGCCATGAGTTCCAGGCCAGCCTGACCTCCATAGTGAAGGGCCAGCCTGAATTACATTAAATTCTGTCTCAGGAAGGAAAAAAAAATGTAAAAGACAATATAATCAAAGCAAAGCTCTTTCTCTTGGCACTAAAAGAATAATGATTATGAAAGTTGTATCCTTTATTTCTTTTTCTTTTTGAGACAAGTGTTTCACTAAGTTGCCCAGGCTGGCCTTGAACTCACAGTGTTCCTCCTGCCTCTGCCTCCTGAGAGCTTGGATTACAGGTGTGTACCACCGTACCTGGTTTATATGGTTAAATGTAACAGGATATAATAAAATTAGGCTTAAAATGATTATGTAAAAGTACGGTTTAAATCTTTTTCTTCTAAACTAAGTATGTTTTCAAATGATATCCAGTACTTTAAAAAAGTTTCTAATAATTTCTCTTTACTCCAAAACAACTTCATATTCAGTGTTAAAAGTGAAAAAGGTTCCTTTTGCCCAGAGGCCTTTTCCCATAGTTTGGTAATAAAGCTAATTAAGCAAGAGGCAGTCCAGCCACTCACCATGTGTTTGGCAAAGCTCCCACCAGGACCAGTACTGCGTACCAGGTGACCTTCAGAAGGGAAGTTAAAGTTGCCAGCATTCAGGTTATCTCGAGTGGAGTGATTACCAAAGAGAACAAATGGCTGTCGATTAGGGCTGGAACAGCAAGTCAAAAAAATACACAGTTAGAAGACTCCCAACCAAGGCAACTTCATCAGACCTGAGTGAGTTCCGGGGCTTTTCTTTTTCTTTTTTTTTCTTTTTTACTGGTACCAGGGATCGAACAGGCAGGCGCTTATGCTGCTGAGCTAAATCCCCAGCCTATTCCGTGGCTTTTCTGATTGACATCCTGCAGCATGAGCAAAGCAGTCTATCTAAAGTTCCTGTGGACTGGGAAGGGATGCCAGGTGTGTCTGGTTCTTCTGAGCATACAACCGTAACCATGCTATG